GTGGGGGAGATGGTGGAAGGGCTGGGGGCAATGGAGGAGAGGGAAGGAGCAGGTGGGGGAGATGGTGGAAGGGCTGGGGGCAATGGAGGAGAGGGAAAGGACAGGTGCAGCCCATGATGGAGAGGGAAGGGCTGGGGGCGATGGTGAGAAGGGAAGGAGCAGGTGGGGGAGATGGTGGAAGGGCTGGGGGCAATGGAGGAGAGGGAAAGGACAGGTGCAGCCCATGATGGAGAGGGAAGGGGCAGGTGGGGGCGATGGTGGGAAGGACAAGTAAGGGGGCGATGAAGGAACAGGGCAGCTGCTCTGTGGAGCTGGCCGAGGCCCGCGCCCGCAGTTCCCCGGCCCGGCTACACAGAGCGGCCTGGGCGGGCGCCTCAGGCGCCGGCTCTCCCGGCCCGGAGCGCAGCGCTCTCACAGCCCAGTTCTGCGGCCTGCACCGCCGCGGCCTGGCCTGGCCTGACACCGGCGCCTCCCCGCTCACGCGCGCCCCAGCCCCGGGGCCGATACCTGCCGACGCTGCCGAGCGGGAGCACCGGGTATAGCTCTGGCTGGGCGGCGGCTCGCTGCCGTGGTCACCCCGGCGCTGCCTGCGCGGAGCCGCCTTAGACCCCCGGTGGGGAGGGGGAGGACGCGGTGCCTTTTGTTCCTCGCTCAGTCTCTGCGAATGCGGAGCCGCGAGCGGGGCGGGCGGCTGCCGGGGGGCGGGGGTCAGCTGCCTGGTACATGTGTTGGGGATGCAGGGGGGGTGCCTGGGACAAGAGTTGGGGGGCTAGCAATGGCAAAGGATGAGGGGCTGCCTGGGGGTGGCTAGGAGCTGATTACAGAAGCAGGGAGGTGTTTACCCCGAGTGAGCCTGGGGGACAAGGTATAGCTGCAGTGCTTTCAGAGGGAGATAACGTGATTTAATTTGGGGCAGGATGCTGGGTAAACGTGGTAGCAGAACGTGAAGTTGTATTAGGATTGCAAGTGAAGAGTAGGGTGACCAGATGTCCCGATTTTTGGGTGTTTTTCTTATATAGGCTCCTATTACCCCCCCCCCACACACACACACACACCCGTCCTGATTTTTCACACTTGCTGTCTGGTCACCCTAGTGAAGAGACACCTAGATGTGGGGTGGAGTAGGAAGCTGGGCTATGTGAGTTTCGATGGTCAGAATTTGGTTGGCAGTGGGAGGGGCCTGCTTCTCTCTGCCTGTCCATTCACCTGTCTCCATCACTCCTCCTCACAGAACATTTGGGTAAATGTGAATAAAGGTTGAACTATTTGGACTTTTAAAGTCTTGAAGGGCAGGAGGCTGGGATCCTCAATAGATATGGTGGCTTATCTGGCGAGTCCAGTGGAATAAGAGGCTAAGCTGCCATCCCATAGTTTCAGTGTTTCCTACTTACAATTTTATTTAGTGAGATCATTTGCAGGTAAGAGAACAGTCTTGGGTTTGGTGATGCATAAAGGATTAACTGCAATGAAAATGAATGTTTTATCTGTAGGCATTGAAGCTGAAAAGCAAGCTACTTCACGTTGCCTCATCAGTTACTTCAATCTTGACCTCCTAATGTTGCGCTTTTCTAGAAGCAATGTAATTCAATGTTCGTGGTCAGGCCTAAGAGTATTTTTGTGAACACCAACTGCCAGTCATTCCTGATTGTTCCAAAGTATGTATGGTAGCTTCCATAATGTTGATTAATGTTTACTTGGAGCTGGGATCAGGGTGCCAAATTTATTTTAGTTACACCCTTAACCTGGACTCTGAGGTGAAGGAGTTGTCCCTTATCTTCAGGACTACCCAAACCATTGTTTTGAAGTTGTACAATACAAAATGCTGACTGATTTGAGAAGTAATATTCAGGTAAGCAGTGGTAACCCTTATTATAAAGACATGAATGAGTACACTAGAGATTCTAGTATTGCCAACCTCAAGTGATCAAAAATCATGAGATTTTTTTTTTAAAGGCTATATTGTGTTTTATTTCTCCCCTGATTTTTTTGGACACCCCCTGCCCATCCCCAAGTGTGTGTGACAATTAGTGTTGGCTGCTCTCCCAAATTTATCCGGGAAAGTGATTTTTGGCCCCCGGTGAAGGAGCTCACACCCTCACATCTGCCCCCTGCCCAGAAATTACTTCTGACCCTTCCCCCATTAGTTCAGCATCCCCATCAGTTCAGTTCCTCCTCCCCCCCCCCCCAGCTTCGTCTCTGTTCCTCCTGAGATTCTTCACCCCCCTCTCCTAGTCCTAGAGAGGTTGCAGCTGGGTCCCGTCTTCCCTGTCCAGGTTGGAGGGCAGCTTCAGCAGTTCTTCATCCCCCCACTCTGCCTTTTCTCAGGCTGGAATACTGCAGGGATGGAGGAGGATCAGAGATGCCATCCTTTCCTCTTTGCTCAAAGGAGGGAGTGGATATTAATACTTAAATTTTCAAAGCTGCAAGCCTTTAAAATTCTAATGTAAGATGTATGATTTTTGTATTTCAGTATGTGTATTGCACTCAATATGGGGAGTGGAATTAAACTGGTCAGTTTAATATTTCTTGGTAGTAATTTTCTAGTTGATTTCACTTTCTGGTTCTCATGTATTGTCCCAATTTGTTTTTTAGAATCTCATGATTTCTAAGCCAATCTTGGGACCCTGACTCATGATTATTGAATTGTTTATTGGAAAAAAAGCAAAACCTAGGATTTGAACCTAAACTAAGTTGACAGTGAAAATGAGTAGCATGTGTACGTGCACTTTTTCCTGTCTATGGCCCTGGCTCAATATGGTATTTAAGCATATATTTAAGATTCTGAAACGTTCTTTATTTACACGATCACTATTTCTTCCTCATTCAGTGCACAGGATTAATGGGGCTTCCTTAATGAGTAGCTATTAAATATTGTATTTTATCCTCATTGTTAAATGGGACCCCAGGCTTTATTTACTGTACATGATTGAAACCCTGCCACAGAGCCAAAATTATTAATTTCTCCAGGGGTGTTTTTATGGGCTCTCATCATAATATCAGAATGCTTCACAAACATTAATGAATTTATCTTCTCATTAGTGATGTGAGCTGGAGGGGTGATATTATCCCCATTTTACAGGTGGGAAAATGAGGCACAGAGAAGTTAAGGTTAAAAGTTTCCACTAATTTTGAGTGGCCAATTTGAGACAACGAGGACCTGGTTTTTCGGCATGTTTAGCATTCTATAGCATTTCATATGTTCAAGCAAAGCTCTCACTGACTTCATTTGCAGCTGAGAGTGCGCATCACTTCTGCAATGCAGACACCAGGTCTCCATTTGGGCACCTGGAAAATAAGGAACACATACTTAGTAATCACCTTTGGAAAGTTTTGGTTTAAGTCACGTGCCTAGAATCCTAGGAACTCAATGGCAAAGAGGGAGAGAATTCAAGGCAGCAATCAATTGCCTTAATCTGGAGAACATAATTTCTCTTCCTGCAGACCCATGTCATGCATTATGCATGTTTCTAACATCTGCAACAAATGAGGCCGGAGTCCTATGGACAACGTCCTCCTTTACTACACAACTCTGATTCATCACCAGAGCAAGTCCATTCTGCGCTCCAAACAAGGTAAGGGTCCTGTGGAAAAAATAGCATATGATCGTGTCATTAAAGACTGTATCATAATGCATATGTACAAGAGGGTGAATTAAAGTTGCATGGGCAGCCTTAATTCTGATATTTCCTAACTTTTGTGTGCTTGACTTTGCAACCTTTATTATGATCTTTTAAAGTGTTTGTTTTCAGGGGGAGGTGCTAATTTGCTAGGTTTTTAAAAAGGCAAACTGAAAAAACAAATCCCATCATGTGACATCCTACTTATGCCCAAATGGTTCATCAGGGGATTGGAACCTTTAAATCCACCACACAGACTTCTGGCACCTAAACTAACAGAGTAACTGTTAGCTTATCAGAAATATGTTGTTGTCTTTTGTGTAGAACAAGCACAACAGGGAGATGAGGCACATGCTTTGCTAGTGGATTTCAGAGTTATTTATTAACAGAAAAGGAACGGTGCAACTCGGGAATCTTGAGTTTCATTTCACCTTCTGGAGGCAGGGCTCAAGTTGTGCCATATTGCGGTTTTGGGGGAGTCAGACTGGCACCCTGGCACTGGTGGAACTCCGAGGGAGCAGGGGATTGGAGGGGAATCACCCTCCCTGGTAGTCTTTAGGTGTATGCATGGTGCTTTCTCAAACATATTATGCAATTGACAAAAGGAGGTGCACAACACAATTTTTTCACCTGGGGCTATAGTGTAAGCCCACCCCACACCTAGAAGCGGTAGCTCAGCCCATCTCCCTCATCTGGGCATTGCAACATGGTGCACAGGGTTGCATGGCATTGAAATACTGTGTGCCTTGTCATAACACCACTCACTTAAATTTGGCCTGGCCACCTCTCCCTTGTGATGAAAGGGTGGTTGGGCCAAACCTGAATGATGCTGCAACCCCCCTGAGACTGGCGCCACGGGTGAGTGTCAGGTGGGCTTGCTCTCTAGCCCATAAGAATGGCCAAACTCGGTCAGACCAAAGGTCCATCTAGCCCAGTATCCTGTCTTCCGACAGTGGCCAATGCCAGGTGCCCCAGGGGGAATGAACTAAACAGGTAATCACAAGTGATCCATCCCCTGGGCCCCATTCCCAGCTTCTGGCAAACAGAGGCTAGGGACACCATCTCTGTCCATCCTCCATGAACGTATCTAGTTTTTTTTTTGTTTTTTTTTTGTTTTTTTGTTTTTTTTTGAACCCTGTTATAGTCTTGGCCTTCACAACATCCTCTGGCAAGGAGTTCCATAGGTTGACTGTGCGTTGTGTAGAAAAATACTTCCTTTTGTTTGTATTTAAACCTGCTGCCTATTAACTTCATTTTGTGACCCCTAGTTCTTGTGTTACGAGACAGAGTAAATAATACTTCCTTATTTACTTTCTTGACACCTCTCATGATTTTATAGACCCCTATCATATCCTCCCTTAGTTGTCTCTTTTCCAAGCTGAAAAGTCCCAGTCTTATTAATCACTCCTCATGTGGCAGCCATTCCATACCCCTAATCATTTTTGTTGCCCTTTTCTGAACCTTTTCCAATTCCAATATATCCGTATTTAAGATGTGGGAGTACCATGGATTTTTATACAGGCAATATGATATTTTCGGTCTGATTATCTTTCCCTTTCTTAATGATTCCCAACATTGTTCGCTTTTTTGACTGCCACTGCACATTGAGTGGATGTTTTGAGAGAACTATCGCCAATGACTCCAAGATCTCTTTCTTAAGTGATAACAGCTAATTTAGACCTCATTATTTTATATGTATAGTTGCAATTAAGTTTTCCAATGTGCATTACTTTGCATTTATCAACATTGAATTTCATCTGCCATTTTGTTACCCAGTCACCCAGTTTAGTGCCCACCACCAAATGACCCATCATGACCCAGTCTCCTTACCCAGCCAGTCTTTCTGTTCCACACTCATCTCTCTTACCAGACTCCTTGTCCTAATCTACTACTGTGCTTCCCCATATCTGCTTTTTGTCCCCTATGCATTTGAGTCAGCTAGCTTTCTCCTCCAGGTTGACTGCATGGCAACAGGAGGAATCATTGAGAATTCCAGTGACCAGTCCCACGTAGGCCCAGAAGCAACAAGGAGTCCGGTGGCACCTT